TGTTTTTTCATGTCCTCTATGCTCTAACTACGAAAATATTTGATTTACAAATAAGGAATCCTACTTCGCGGAATTTCATTTATCACGGTAGGGTCTAGAACCGATTAACCGCGATAAATGAGGGTTCACTGTACATCATTGCAAACGGTTCCCCTTTCCTCCCTTCCTCGCTCCCCCTTCCCACTTCCTTGTATCGATACTCTCATCTCTGTTGAGGGGTTTATGTAACCTGCATGCCCTGTTTCATGAGTTCTTGTCATTACCAGTGTACATGCTCTGGTCTAGCCAGAACTGAAAGGCAGGGCAGTGGTCATGATAGTGGAGGGTAATGAAGCCTAAAAAATTCCAGAGGAATATTGTATGTTTCATCGGTGCTATACTGTGCCCTGGTGGACTCATCCCTTCCTTGTGACCCCTCTGGGAGAGGAGGCCCTATTGTCTACAGATGGGTTTTGGGTCTCTGCTCCAATCTTCCTCATTCTCAACAATGCTTTTTTTGGTGTGTGTGTGTTTTGTTTTGGGTCTTTTGATGCCTGTTACTTGATCCTGTTGACACCTCATGATCGCACATGTTGGTGTGCTTCTTCCACATGGGTTTGTTACTTCTCTTCTAGATGGCCATTTGTTTAACTTCAAGCCTTTGAGACCCCAGATGCTCTATCTTTTGATAGTAGGGCACCATCAGCTTTCTTCACCACATTTGCTTATGCACCCATTTTGTCTTCAGAGATCATGTTTGGAGGGTGGGAATCACAGAATTCCAGGTTGTTCTTGTTTTGAGCGAGGGTTTGAGCAGAGGCTCTCATCCTATCCACTTCAATGGATTGCTATATAAAAATATGTACATAGGCAAATCCCTCTATTTTTAGGAATGAATATTTTTACATATGTACACACCTATGTTTATATCTCTATCCATAGCTTTGTTTCCTAGACATTTCCTCTGTTTACTTTTAGTTTCTTATCTAAAGAACCTTGCTTTTATTGAGGATAATATTATAACTTATAGCTAATATAAATATTAATACTTATAGCTCATAAAAACATAAGAAATAAGCAAACAAAAAACCCTGATTTAGTCAATTCCAATTAATAGTGACCCTCTATACAATTTTCAAGGATGTAGATCTTTACTGGAGCCTCAATTGTGATAGCCTCAATTTTCTCCCTGTAAGCAGCTAGAGGATCTGAACTGGAAAACTTAGCAGCTCTACTTACCATACCTCCAGGGTTCCTAGCCTTTTGTATAAGGAGACCTGACTGAATTCTGATAAATGAGATATAAATGAGCACTATTGGTGGAACTCTACAAATGGTAGGTTGATTCATGTGACATGGGCCCCTTTGCCCACTCTATACATCTTCCCAAATGCAACTTGGACGGGATTTCTGGTACTGCAGCACCTGTTTACAACAAACTTTGTCAGGTGACTGACTCTGAGGATTAACTTCACATCTTAAAGATTTTAGAGGTGAAAGAGAGAAGGGACATGGCATAGGGTTAAGTTACGGACCCACTACACCAGTCTTGAACTAGTATTGGGGTTAATGTTACGGAAGAAAAAAAAAGGTACTATCTAAGCCCCTATTTTTAGAGACTTGTAACCAAATAAAATTTCTAAAAGGCAGTGGGTATTTATAGGGAAGCAAGTATGTTTGTGTTACAGCTAGGAACTCACTATAGAAACTATTTTTTACAGTTATAATAACCATGAAAAATTAGAAAAACCCATGCTTTAAAATTTATTTTTTTAATTAATCAATTTATTGGGGCTCATACAATTCATCACAATACATAGATCAATTGTGTAAAGCACATCTATACATTTGTTGCCCTCATCATTCCCAA